TGGAGCATGCCCATATTGGGCTCTGCTTCCCCTACCATGGTTTTTGCCTTCCAACTATGATACGAAGCATCAGAACAAAATTTGGAGCATGCAGGCAAAGTGGCTGGTGGCTATATAGGTGAGGGGAGAGTCATGCTGTGGGAACGAGGGTAAGCCATCACCTCCGCTGCCAACAATGCACAGCACCATTGCTTGCTAACTGACCACAAAAGACAAGGCTGAAAAGAGTTTGAAAAATTGCCAGCAGCACAGGGTCAGCAGTAGTTTATATGTATTGCTTTCTTTGCTTTGCCATCTTTGTTACCAATACTGCACCGATTTCTCCCCACAGATACCGCAGTTCACAACACAGGTTTCTCTAAAGCTAATTTGCTGACGGTGGGGCCATTGAATCAGAAGTCTAGGTCATATCTGTGGCTCTCATCTGTACTGCAGGGCCATCCCACAGACACGGTCCTGAGCGTCTCACCAGTGTCCTACCCATCATCCTTTCCTGGGCGCTTGGAGGTGACAGTGTCCTGCTTTTAGTGTGTACGCACACAAGCCACAGAAGCAGAGAATCATACATGCAATTTAAAGCAGAGAAAACGAAAAAGCTGTATGTCTATGTTACTCTTGGGACCAAATGGCAAAAGCAACAGAGTAAGATCCTCTCAGATGGACTCTTTAATATCCAAATTACTCACTGTTATAGCTGGAGTCTCCCAAAGTGCTTTACGGATGACCCCATGTCTAGCAATAAACTACAGCGATGGGTTTAACCCAGTCTGCTTACACTACCGCACTGCTATCAGAAATGTCTTGGTGTTTTGTTTCACAAACAGAACAGGCTTTTGCACCAAAACAATGACAGCGAGCCAAATTCTAACTGAGATGCAGCTGTGCAAATTGTGAGGGAGGCATATCTGTGACTAGGAGGAACTGCAGCCCTGTAGGATTCTCCTGCAGCTTGGGAATACACATGGAGGACAAACACACAGTACAACCTCACATCTTCCTCTGGAGCATTACTTTGATGTCCCTGTCAAAGGACAATCTTGATACAAAAATACACCATAAAAAGTAGATTTAAAAGGAGACTAATTCCTCTCTCTTGGTTCAGTTTCCTGATTCTGCAAACTGCTTTCAACCCCCCCCGATCCCCTACCCCTGTCCTGTCCTTACCAATACGTAAGCATGCCATGGATTATCATAGAATAGGAAATCCACCCGAGGAATTTCCTGCTGATTGTATCCTGCTTGATAAAGGAAACGGTTTAAGAAAGCCTGCTCTGAACAGTAGGAAAGATCAGACTATAAGAACAAGTTTGAGCTTTCAGCTGTGTTGAGCCAGGGCTGTGCCCCTCCCTTGCTGAATGGAGACCACAGCAAGTTCAGGATAAGGCCATTGCCTTTGTTTTTCAGAGCCTCATCTCCACAAAGCACCAGAGCAACATGGCTACAGGAAGCTGGACAGTTTGCACAGATATCCTTGAACCAGTTTAAACTTGCATGGACAAATGTCTTTTTCTGGATTGAGCTTCCCTAGGGAAGAATAACATTATTGCATCAGCTGCTTGCCTCTGTCTCCCTGACAGTGGTTACTGCCCACTGGGAGCACCCCTTGTCCACTTCAGTGAAAATAAGCTGGCTTGCTTAGCAAAGTTGCACAATATAAATTTTGAAGCAAACCCTGCTCATTGTGACCAAAAGGGGCTGTGGTGTACCCACGGGAGTGGCTCACTGTCAGATCTGAAGGAATAATAACTGCTGGCTAAAGGGCCCTGACAAAGTTGCAGGACAGCTGATGACATCCATTACTTTCACCAATGCAGGTGGACCCATAAGCCATATTCCACAAAACCTGTGACCTAATAATCAGAATCCACCCTTCTGCTTGCACCTCTTGGACAAGGTTTTAAAGCAGATTAAATTGCTACAATGTCAGTGTATAGAGAAACCCAGATTGTGCTGGCAGCAGAACCACTGTGGGAACAGTAAGCCCTAAAGTGAGATCAAACTGCCTGAGAGGGTGCAAGCCAGGCCTGTCATAGAGCTAGCTGCCAACACCAGCATGGTGGCTTGTAAACCATAGTGGGGAACCCGTTTGCAAGATGTGCATGACTACTGGGATTACAGCCCCAAATCGTATCCTTAGGGCATGGTGTGGGTCAGAGTAATTCTGGAGGAAGTGTAGGAGCATAGGGAGACTCCTTGTGTTTGCAGGCAGAGGGTCAGTCTGTGTGGCTGGATGGGAGATACTGCAAGATTTATTTGAAAACCACTCTGTTTCAAAATTGCTCCTGTTCCATTAACGGAAAGCTTTCTCTTTCCATTCACTACTAGCCTGCTTCCAGTCCCACACAGACTGAGAAGGTCCATCTTCCCTTCTGCCTCCTTGTTTCACTCACCGACTGCTCTCAACAGCAGCGGCTGGCTCTCCAAACTCTGCAATTCCAGTGGACTTGCCTTATTTTCTGGAGTATGGCTCCAGCCTGGACTTCTGAGTGTCATCCTGTGGAGTCTGTCTGCGCTCCAGGAGTGGGGCAGGGTAAGGGCAGATTGTCTTGTCTGGGAGGCTTGGAGACCTGCAGGCACATGCTCAATAGCCCAGAAACAGGGACTAGAGGAAGATGCTCTTAACCCAGAAGAGGATGGATGCTTTCTTTCCACATCTGAAAGTACATTAAAAACAAGATATTAATGGAGCGTCATACTAAGGGAATGGCTTTGCCTCTTCAGCTTGACTGGAAACAGCTGGTAAAAAGTGAAAAGAATCGAGAAAGAAAAAGTACTCCCAGCCACACTGCCCTTCCCTTCAGTAAAAAAGACTCCCATGGGCCTGTGCTGTCCTTCCTCTGGCAATATGGGCCCCACTCTTATGGGAGCACAACATGATGCAGTCCCACACGCCCCTCTTCCCCTGTTGCCTGTGGTACCTTCCATCTCCTTTTCTATCGCTTGCACTCTCTGCTGAGCGTTCCTGTTCCCTGCAGCGGCGGACTGTCGATAGTGTCTCATCGCTTCTGCCAGGTCCTGTTGCACTCCAAGGCCCGTCTCATAGCAAACGCCAACGTGATACCTGCTTTGGGAATCCTAGCCACAGAAAACAACACAGCAATCAGACCCACAGGATGGAAAAGTGAGGACAGTAGGTGAAAGGAGAACAGACACTCTTTAACACCTCCTTTAAGTTTACTCCTCTATCTTTGGTCCCTCAGACTATATCCTCAGTCATTTAGTTCGTTCTCTGAGTACGTTCTCAAACAGACTCTCTCACCAGGTATCTCCAACTCCATTCCTTTACCATCCCTTTCCAGTTAAATTCACTGATTTCCCTTCAACACCCAGGCCTGTGGCACAGGAACAATTAAGCAGTTGTCTCCACAGAGCATCCAGATTGCGTCAGGGGTCAAAGCTAAGGGGACTCAGGCAGCCTTGACTGCACCCATATCCTGATCACACCCAAACTGTGAGCACGCCCTGTGGAGTGCCCTATTACAGTTCACACACAAGTCTTTTAAAAAGATAACGAATATCACAGAGGTGTTTGTTGCCAAGGTTGGAAGATTCCCCTTGGCAACCCTGTGATGCATCAGGGCTGCAACAGAACAGCCCACCAGTATCCTGCTCAGCCCCACCCAGTTATACTTCCAAAGAAATCTCAAGCAGCGGAAATGAAGTCAAACAAACAAGCAATCCAGAGAAAGAATCAACGCTACTCAGATGTACACAGCTGCTGAGAATGAACTAGAAAATAGCGGATGTCACTGCAAATGGCTCG